GCCCGCCCACCCCGGGCCGAGAGCTCCCGGCCGGCCTTCCCGTGGCCGCGGCGGCGCTGCACCCGCTCTGGCCGCCGTCCGGCCGCCGCGCCCCGCCGCCCTTTGCCGCGGGGGCTCCGGCAGTTCCAGTCCGGGGATCGTCCCGTTCTGAACAGGTGGGTCTCTTCATGGCGGCGGTGGCTTCGCGCAGCACGGACAAGGGAGCCAGGGTCATCGGGCGGAGGATGCGCCGGCGCCGCGGGGCTCGGGCCCCGCTCTAACCCGTCGCCGGGGCCGAATCCTGGGCGCGTCTTACGAGCCCGGGCGCGTGGGTTTTAGGCTTCGGGCCCGCTGTTGCCTGCGGCCCGGCGTGGTCTTGCCGGGTTCTGATGCCGAGAAGCGGACGGTGGGGTCGCAGTGCCTGCCCTGGCCGGGGGATCCGCCCTGCCCACGGCGGCTCCGGGTCCCTGCGAACAGCCTCCCCGAGACCCGCCTCTGCGGTTTCACCTCCCAGTTGGCCTCTTGGGCTTGACGTCTGACGTTATTTTCCTGACCCCACTTTTCGTATTCGGGACCAGTTTGAAACGTGTCCTACGGGAACGAAAGAGTGAAGAATGTTACCCTGGCCCTGTACAGGTTCAAGTTTGATGCTTTTCTTTTTCTTCTTTAGTTTCGGGGTTCTCTGAAGCCCTTTCAATCCTTAAGGCTGCTTGGCCGGAAATCCTTATTTATTTGTGGGACGTTTAAGTTTCCTTAACAAGAAAACTGGAATTAAATTCTGTTTCCTAGAGCTGTCACGGAATGTTTGGAAGTTGCTGAAATGAGTTTCAGTCTAATTCTTAGTTAATTACCATTTACCAGGCCGGGGCCAGGAAGAGTGTCCTGGGGATGGGGGTGTAATTGCTGTTTGGATAGAAATTCAGTCTGGCCCTGCAGGGGATGCCAGTGGACAGCTCGGGACCCACCTGCCTGTGCTGGGGACGATCCGCAGACAACCGGGCAGGCAACAGAACTTTGGTTCTTCCCAAATTGTTAATGGTAATTTTTGTAGAGCCTTAGAGTAGCATCCTTCAGTGACTCCCTGAGTGTCTCATGTAACGCCTGAGGGTTTACACAAAGAAGACCCCAGCGTACAGCGTGGAAGATCCCTGGGAGGGGGTGGACTGAAAAAGGGAGGTAGTAACATTGCCCGTACTGACCATGCATTTTCACTCCCTGGCTCTTAAATGCCAGCCTTTTGTTTTGGATTTATTGAGGCAACATGGCATGGTTGAAACTCCCTCTTATTTGAGTTTAAGTGTCCCATATTTAAGACTTCGGGGAATAGCAGAGTGTATTGGTTAAGATCAGAGGCTGAAACCCAGCTGCCTGAGACAAAGGCAGTTTTCAAGGTGGGATGGAGAGTGGCACCTGTTCTTAAAGATGACAAATGGCGGGGGATTTTGAGCAGAGGGGTGTTAACTTAGATCTGTGGACTTCAGAATGCAAGGCAGAAAGGGAGGGTTAGAAAAGGAAATTGGATCAGGGCAGAGTTGACGCTTTAATCCCGAGAGAGAGCCCCTCAAGGGACTTCAGTTGGGTCGTGGATGGAGATGACCAGCACCATGCCTGAGGCATGTCTGTGGCAGAGTCTAAGGGACAGTGCTCCAGGGAGAACACCAGGAGTCTGCCATAGCACTCTAGAAAGGACAATGGGATGGGGAAAAGGGTAGAACTGCCAAGACTTGGCATGTCGTTGCCTGGGGGCAGGAGGGTTGGGGAGGTATCATGGCCAGGGAAAAGTAATTTAGGGCTCAGAGCCCAGGTGACCCAGATGTAGTGGGTCTCAGAACCTGGGAGGAGCAGAGCAGCAGGCTGTGTGTTTCTAGCTTGGAGTGCCAGGAATGCAGGTGGGGCCGCGCGCCAGGCAGCGGGCCATCCTCGCTCCTGAGCTTGCTGCCCGTAGCGTTGCTCTCCTGTGGTGCTGTCCTGCAGGGAGCTTTGTGTAAGAAATGACCACAGCCCCAAAGACGTCCCCGAAGTCTTAAATATGGCACATTTAAACTCAAATAAGAGGGAGTTTCAAGCACTCCATGTTGCCTCAATAAATCCAAAACAAAAGGCTAGGTTATTCTAACTTCAATGGTTTTGTTCATTGGCAAGTGCCAGCCAACACTAACTTACTGATGAGTTTTCTCTTTAAGTCTCAATGATGTGCATCAAGCATGTCAAAGCAAGCCAAGTTTTAGGAGGGTACATTTTTATGTTACCTCCTATTGAGAATTTCGATTAACAGTATGTCTTATCCCAGAGAACCTTCTGAAGGATTCTTCTTTATCCTGTGTTTTAGTGAGCAGTTCTCTTTTGCAGATGATTTAGCCCTAACTCATGTTTGCTTACTTAGAATAAATCTGATGGGCTTAGTAACTGAACAGTACCTGAGTGTGTGAGCAAACCAAGTTTCAAAAATAGTCTTAAGAGGTCAGAAGATGGCTCTGCCTTGGTTGGCGCTGCCTCCCTGGGTTAGGGGCGTGCGCTGTGTGACCTCCCACCTGCCCTGTTGCCACCAGCAGCCCTATGGGAAGAAAGCAGCAGGCCCAGCAAATTCCTGAGTGTAAGAGTCACTTTGTTCCCACCCTGAACCTGCTAACTCCATGGACTCACCAAGCCTAGAAAATGCGCCTGACACAAGCATGACTGAGGGGAACAGAGTGGGTGAGTGGACAGCCTCACCATCTAGGGTGGGGAAGGCAGGGTCCCTGATGGAAAGCTGAGATGCTGTGTGCAAATGAGGAGAGGATGGATAGCACCACATCCATCCTCCCAATAATGGGATTGGACTGTGAGAAAAGTCAGGTTCACTAAAAAATCCTGACATTAAAAACCTGTATTTAAATATATCCTGTATGTACATCACTCAGCCCACCTCCACATGGACATTTTTGTACTTAATTTATCCATAGTCCCTGCTCTTCTTTCTGGTCATATATTTTCCTTTAGTAATCATTATTATGTTAGTGGTTAAACTGCCTAGTTATTATGTAACTAGTTAATATACCAGTTGGACTAGTTTCCTAACTCATACAGCCAAGTTTGTATTCATATACTAGCAAAAAACTTCTTTGCCATAACAAAGTATCACAAATGAGATGGCTTAAAACAACATCTAGTATTCTGGAGGCCACAGGGCTGTGCTCTCCCTGGAGGCTCTAGGGGCACATCCCTCCCTGCCTCCCCCAGCTTCTGGTGGTTTCTAGCAGTCGGGCTTGCAGAGGCATCACTCCAGTCTCTGCCTTGGTCGTCACCTGGCATTCCCCTGCCTGTGTGTCAGTCTCTTCTCCCCATCTTATACCAACACCAGTCACCTTGGCTTACCCTGAGGCCCTCAATTTAACAACTGCAAAGAACCTGGTTTTGAATAAGATCACGTTCACAGGTCCCACAGGCACGACTTCAGCATATCTTTGGAGAGGACACAATTCAGTCCACAACACTGGTCAAACTTTTTGGACAAATATTTGGGAAAAGTCATGATGTCTTAAGTAGAACTAGAAGTGTCTATAAAACGTGTTTAACAAAAAAAACTAAGACTCCTTCAAAGTTGAAAAAATATTCTGAATACTTGAATTACTGTGTACTTCAATAAGGCATAAACTGAATGTTATGTTGTTAAGTCCCTCTAAAGAAATCTTCTCTGGGCTCGGCGCCTATAGCTCAACTGGCTAAGGCGCTAGCCACGTACACCTAAGGTGGCGGGTTCGAATCCCCAGCCCGGACCCGCCAAACAACAATGACGGCTGCAACCAAAAGATAGCCGGGCGTTGTGGCGGGCGCCTGTGGTCCCAGCTACTTGGGAGGCGGAGGCAGGTGACTCGCTTGAGCCCAGGAGTTGGAGGTTGCTGTGAGCTGTAATGCCACGGCACTCTACCCAGGGGGATAGCTTGAGGCTCTGTGTCAAAACAAAAAAAAAAAAAAGAAATCTTCTCTGTTCTCATAAACAGCCCAAGTGTGCAGAATGCCCCACAAGATTGGATTTGTAGTTGTCAGCTCGTCGGGACACGAAGATGGCTTCAGTGCCCGGGAACTCATGATTCACGCGCCAACCGTCAGTGGGTGGAGGTCACCAAGGTAAGGGCTGGGCAGCAGTATTGGGCCCCTGAAGGACACAGGCTCCTTCATTCTAAGCCTTGAATTTTACTGTAACTCAGACGTCGGGACCACAAGTGTGTCCAGTTGTGCTGCAGTGTTAGACGTCTTCAGACATCTTGTTCTGTGATGGATTTTTTTTTTCTTCCTATTTATTTTAAAAGATGATTCATTGACCCTTTTTTCCTTATATAACATTTATCCACACTTAAAATGTGCAAATATAGAAAAGAATAAGGAAGAAAATGACCCCCCCCCCCATAATCATCTAATCAGTCTCTCTGATCGTTGCTGGGTCGCTCATTCTCATGTTTTCTGTTCAAAAGTCGTGTTTGCAAATTTTTTTAGTTTTATACTTGGGCTTCTATAATGAAATATTTTGCACCTACCTGCCTTTTTTTTTTTTTTTTTTTGAGACAGGGTCTAACTATGCTGCCCAGGCTAGAGTGCAGTGGCCCCATCGTAGCTCACTGCAGCCTCAACTCAGTCCTGGCCTCATACGATCCTCCTGCCTCAGTCTCCAGAGTAGCTAGGATCACAGGCATGCACCACCCTACCCAGCAAATTAATTTTCCCAACTAATATTTAAAACAGTTTTTGTAGAGATAAGGTCTTGCTCTATTGTGCAGGCTGATCTTGAAATTCCTGGCCTCAGGTGATCCTGCTGCCTTGGCCTCCCAAGTGCTGAGATTACTGGCATGACCCACTTGCTTGGTCTTAACTGCTTTTATATGACACCAAGCCTTAACAAAAAAAGTTTAAGATTTCTTTTTGGTAAACTGTCCATCTTTATAAAAATCTTAGTTATTCGAGTGTTTAGTTTTATTATTTTCCTGAAACATTTGTGTCTTTCTTGCCTCTTGTTCCTTTTCCTGAGACATCTTCATTCTTCAGCAGCACTCGCAGCTCCCTGCTGAGGGCTCCAGGCTCCCTGCCGTACTCAGCATCTGCCCTCTACCCTCAGTCACGTGACCCAGACTCACCACCCCTGCCCCCACCTCCTCAGCAGCAGTGTTCTTCAGGACTTGTTTTCAAGTCTGAGAGGAAGTTATAATTTATTCCTAACTCGTGAATATGTGAATAGGGGTGACAGTTTAAATTCACTCATGTAACTGTGTCTTGCTTATTCAGAAGATATGTTGCTGAAATTGAATGTAAATCACATTCAAAATTAAAACATACTTTCCTTTTGGAGTTTTCGAGGTCACCCAACAAACAAGACTCCCTTGCCCTGCCTTTCCCTGAAACAAGTTCTGAATGAACTGAGTGGCACCTGAGGAGAGCAGGGGTGCAGTGGTGCCTTTCTCACAAGAGCAGGTAACTGCAGGAGTGGGAGCCTCATGCTGCCCTGGACACAGCTGACCCCCCTGCCATGTGGGCAGCATCAGCAAGGTGAAGCCCAAGCTGACATGGCAGCCGGCAGCCCCTCTCTCCACACAGGCTTACCCCACTAGCTTTGTCCTGCCTCTCCCCAGGCTGATGGAGCCGTGGGACTTCCAGCCCCACCTACAGCATCCATTGCCCTTGGCAGAGGTCCCTGGTGCTGACTGGGTTTGTCCATTGTGATGTGTGGATTCAAGGTCCTTAACTGTGCAGTCGGGGCGCTCTTCATGGTCACATCTAGAAAAGTAGGACTGATGTGCTTCGCTGAGTCGACAGGGTGTTTCTGTAAGGGCATAACCTGTGCTGGCTTCAGTAATGTGCTTTCACATACCACACCAAAGAGAAAGGTCTGTGTGTCCTAGGTCACCACGCAGAACAGACAGGACAGAAAGTCCCCTCAGGGCACTGACAGGCACAGCTCCCGGGAAGCACTTAGGAGGGGGTTACAGGGCTCGCAGGCTGCTCCAGTGCCATCCTTACAACCTTGGAGTTCAAAGACCTCAAACTCTTCGGAGCAAGACACTTCTAAAAGAGCATAAAATTTGCACCAACAGTTGTAGCCTCTGGGCATCAGTTTTTTAGTTGGGAAATTATGTTTATTCAAAAAGAAATCCATAACTGAATTTGTCATAAAAGAATAGATATGCACATGGGGTGGTGCCTGTGGCTCAAAGGAGTAGGGCACTGGCCCCATATGCCAGAGGTGGCAGGTTCAAACCCAGCCCCTGCCAAAAAAAAAAAAAAGAAAGAAAAGAAAAGACACATGCTGGCCTCTCTGTGCATTCGCTTTATTTGCAGCTTGACTTATCTAGAAGCTGTTGATCAGCCACAGTTGCCTTTTTTCTGAAGGATTTTTAAACGTACGGTCTTGTGTCACTTAATGACAGGGATGGGTTCTGAGACATCCATCATTAGGCGGGTTCATCACCGTGGAAACGCCACCGAGGGTGTCTGCACAGACCCACACAGCACAGCCTGCTGCACACCTAAGCAACACCAGAGAGAAAAGACTTCTATGTTCCAGAAAACAATAAAACTAAACATAATGAACACTTTTATATAAGGGTATACACATTTCAAGAGAAACTTAAAAGACACTTTTTCTGTTAAAGTCCAGCATTATATAAAAGCAATTAGATGCAAAATCTTTTATCATCAGCGCCCAACCATAAGGCTAAAAAAATCTGCCAACACAACCTTTGCACAGAAGACAAAGGAGACTATGCCACTCAGCTTTGACCCGTTGTCAGCGTTTCATCCTGATTCACCCAGACAGCAGAGCCTTGGCAGGCAGCAGGGTGGGGGGTGCCAGACGGGATTCGTCTCTCCTGGTCACGCACCAGCGCATCACAGAGCGCACTCACCTGGCCACAAAGCGTAGCTTCCTGCTCCCAGCCTGCAAACCTGTGCTTGGGTCACTGCACTGAATACCGTCGGCACCTTTCACACAGTAGTGTTTGTACATCTTTTTTTTTTTTTTTTTTTT